GATCGATTTTTTGAAGGAGAATGTTTTTGGAGTGAATAAAATTATGAGATTCGTGAACATAAATCTGGCTTAACGTTTTGAATGCGTTTCCTTCAACGTTTTACAATACAATTAAATTGCAACAATAATTTATTTGTGTTTGTTTTTAGTCTGCAGCATTTGTATTTGTTGTGTTGATTCTATTAAAAAAAATATTTGCCCTGTGACTGAGCTCACTAATATTCATAATTGTAAATAAGTTCTGTTAAATCAATGAAGGAAAGATATGTAAATGATATGCAAATTATTATGCAAATTAGCCCCGGCGCTATGCATTTTTTCTGGGGAGAATCCTGGACCAAGTTTGATAAAGTTTGGAATAGAATTAGTAAAGTTATTGTGCACACAATAACAATTATTAATGACAGCGACAACAACGACGACGATGCCAACAACAACGACAACGACGGACAGAATTTTTCCCCTTATTATACCTTTCCCTTCCATCGTTGATGTTACGAGCAAGGTAAAAAAACATTTACCTGAGTGGACAGACATAGCATCCATACGTGCAGTTTCACCATCCATATTTGGGGTCTTAATTGGCTCCAATGCTGGTGGTCCAGGTAGTTGAGTCGGTGTTGCTGGTTCCATCTCATTATCTTCACCTTCTGTATCATCTGTATCACTATCTTCTTCCTCACTCAATTCACACACTGTGATAGCATCACGTACGCTATCGACGTCAATGTATTGACACACTAACCCGATTTCTTGCTCCACCGTGGTGCGATCCAAGGCACCATTGTTGACTAAACGTATGTCATAGAACCTTAGAGACCTAGAAATAATGAACAGGCAATCACAAATAAGAGATCTTTGATTTTGGTGTTTGATCTTTGTCGGAGTTTATCATCATATCTGCTATTTTTTCTTCAGTCTTCTTTGTAGTTAGTCTAATAAAAATCAATCATATTTTAATTTGACTATCTATCATGCCATGGCCGCAAAACTTTGAATTTTTTGATGGACAAACATAAATGAAAGAAATGGTAATAACGATTTTATCTTCGGTTGCTATTTATAGTACATTGTGCCTTTATAGAGTATGTACTGCATGTTTTCTCGCAGTCAAATTATGCACACATCTATGCTATTGATATAGAGCCATTGTTCAAAATGTCTATTTTAGAATAGTTAATTAAGACAACTACTAGTAAATATTATCTAATTGTTCACTTCTAGTTCCACAATTAAACTTTCTTCCCTGCATAGTTCATTAGACAGTACCGGTTTGACTGGTATTCACACGGAAGTCACAAATATGAATGCTATACAGTCAAGTTTGCATCATCCATAACGATTCCAAAACCGATCACTGGTTACTGCATTGCAATCATAATTGGTAGTTGAAATCCTACCTGGGGTTGAACACAAAACAAGTGAACATTTTTGAAAAACATTGGCACTGGTAGTTCAGAACCCAACAATACACTTGTCTATTACAGTCTCAGAGTCTAATCTATGTCAAGAACTTTCATGCCAAATTTCAATGCAATCTGACAAGCAGTTGTTATTATTTTTGACCAATAATTACAAAAATATTCCCTAAAAATAGAGATTTGGATGTGATGTCAGGAGATGAACAAATCTAACAGAGAACCAGTTAGCTGTGTTTGATAAAAATTTGACGGGCGACGAACGGACGACATGACAACAAGTCCAGTGAACCCATGAGCTCTGCTCGGTCATCTTAGAGGACAGCAGAGCTAAAAAGGGTTGACCCTCCCCCCTACCCTGGATAAGTGTCTCACAGACCCAATAGGAAAGCCAGAGATTAATTCATTAATGAATGCCATTTTAGAGGAACTTTGGTGAAGCCAGATGCATGAAGCTCCTGGTCAACGATGAGATAGCTCATTAAATTAGCATAATGCAACTATGATATTAAGGTGGTCACACAACTCCCATGTAATCCCACAAATGAGTTATAATTTCAATCTAAAATAAACTAAAAGATATCAACAACTGTGGTAAATCAGAAAGAGTTGCTTACCGTGGCCATGTTTCACCTGCAGTATGTTGACCTGATAGTATCATGATACAAGGCAGATCATTTAAGTCTTCATATGTTTTAGGTTGCCAGTTAGACTCAGCTCCTTGCCATGCCTGAAAAAGTCACAATAAATATCACATTAACCTTTTTACCATCTGTTCCCGCTTTTCATCACAAATTTACAAAATAGTCCTGCTTATAGTCTGCACTTTCCTTCAGAAAATTGTGACAAAAATAGCCAAATTTTTTGAGTAAAAACTGAAAATTTACACACATTTTGTCTGTTTGCTCCAAAATTAAGGTTAATTTCTAAAAATATTGAAGAATATAAACAACAAGCCATGCATGGCACAGTCCCCGTTAGTTATCAAATTTAAGACATACAGTTTTGTTTATAGTAATATAGCTGGAATATAACCATGTCAGGAATATGATTTTTTAACATTAAAATGATTGACATTTGTATCTGATCGTCAAAAAAGTACTTGTCCATATTGAGAGATATTGCTCTGGAATAACATGATGTATAATGAATATATAAAATTTAAATATAATAAGTCAAAGCATTTAAGAGATATGACTCTAGAAGCCCAATCATTAAAACAAAATGGCTGCCAGTCAGCCATTTTGAATCCAATCTGAAAAATAAAATGATGAGCATCAGGAACCATAATGTCTAATGTATGTACCAAGTTTAAACGAAATCCACCCATAAATGCTTGATATTTGATGTTTTTTTAGCACAAAAATGACCAACATTTGGAATAGGAACGTCAAACCAATATATCTGTTTATCTATGACATGATGTATAATGAATATTTAAAATTTGAAAATATTATCAGTCAAAACAAGTCGGAGATATGGGTCTAGAAGCCCATTCATTAAAACAAAATGGCCGCCAGTCGGCCATTTTGAATCTTATCTGAAAAACAAAATTATTTGCATCAAAGTTTGAACAAAATCCATCTGTAAACAGCCGAGAAATGGTTGATTTTTAGCACAAAAATGGCCGCCATTCGGCCATCTTGAATCAGACCGTGAAACAAAATGATGTGCATCAAGGTCCTATAATGCCTAATGTATATACCAAGTTTGAACAAAATCTATCAGTAAACAGCCGAGAAATGCTTGATTCGGCCATCTTGAATCAGATCGTGAAACAAATTGACGTGCATATGTATAATATCATGTATGATGTATGTGTTAAGTTTGATTGTGATTGGTCCAGGCATTTCTAAGATACAGGTCCGGACGCATGCACAGACGCACACACGTACGGACACACGAAGATCAAAACATAAGTCCCCGTTTTCGGACTGCGTTCGAACGGGGACTAACAACTGCCACTGATCATCATGAAAAATAATAAAACTAGTCAGTTTTAGAACAAATCTCAAAATCTTCAGCTAGCCTGCACCT